GCTTGTGGAACTCTCTTCTGGTTTGTTGCCTTACAGTCAAGTTTGATCTTAAAATATTTAAATGCAGTGTCAATCATTATCTTCTGTCTCCTTAATTCCTGTTCTTTTATTGTTCTTTCCTTAATAGTGCTTTTTTTTCTCATATTCTCTAACTCAGTAATCCCTTGCATCTTAGTGGCTTTATTGCCTTACTTTGGGTGAAATGATTAAAAAAAAAAAAAAAAATGGAAGTGCACTGATGATACTGCTATGATATGGTTATCTGATGTCTCTAATGTGTATTTTGTTATGAGTGCTTCTTTTTTTTTTTAATGTTCTTATATTTGACAAACTATTTGTTACATCTATCAAAATAGTAGGGGAGAAATACAGCTAACCTGTATTAAGCATATTTTATTGAATAGAATGCACAAAGAATGCCTGTTAAGCCTTTTGGCGAGTTTCTACTGGTATGGAAGAAGCCAAGTGGAAACTTGTGCAATGTTTTGAGTATATTTAGCCATCAGAGGTCATTTTGAAGAGTCTAGAAATAGCTAGTGTAGCAGTTATGTTAACAAAGTATGAATTGAACAGATTTTAATGTCACATGATTAAAATGACTTAATAGCCTTAAGATATTTTAACATATGTACTTAGAAACAGATTTTATTGACAGTGTGGCCGTCTTTTGATGTGAAATGTTTCCGAAATTTTTAATCATTTTTGGCAGTTATATTGGCAAAGTACTGTTGTATTATTTGCCAAAATCTGAGGCAAATTAGGAAGGTTACAATGGATTTGTGTTAATAATCTTTTGTTTAATGGTAATATTAGTTGTTTCCTTATAGGGAAACATCTGGCATTTATTGACCAAACAGCCCATGCTACTTTCAGTTAGAAATTTATAAAGCCTTTCTTAAAACAATTTTTCAGGAAAATAGTGGAGATGAGAAAACTGTTATCACTCTTTCCTGTATTAATGAGGTTTTGCTTCTCAACCTGTGGTTTAGAGTAGTGTGGAATGTCAACATCTTGATTATACGATTATTTTTCTTTCAGTAGTTAAGTTCATTATGTTCACTTAAGTGCAAATACTTGGGAAACGGTATGAATCCACTTCTCTCCCATCTATGGGTTAATTAGTAAAAACTATATCACTAAAATCTCTCAAAATAAAAAAAAAAATTTCATACAATATAAAAATATTTTCTCGCTTTAAATAACTTGCAGTTAGTTGATAAGCCATAAAAAATTAATCAATGAAAACAATTTGAAGTTATTATCCATTATACCACATACAAATCCAAAACCATGTTACCTGGTATTCTTAAGCAGTCACCCATCTAGGTACTGACCAGGCTTGACATTGCTTAACTTTGATGATTATATGGGAATCAGAGTTACAAACTGATGTGGCTGTGAGCCTCCTAAAAATTTGAGAATGTGAGCAACCAAATATAGACAAAAGTGGACTATTTTTTTCATGGAGAAATGGTATGATGCAAAACAAAATAGTAGTAGTAGTACTACTACTACTACTACCCTCCCAACCCAGCAGATTCCTTGAAAAGGTTAGTAGGAAGCAATTGCTGGAATCTTGCCGACAGAAACAAATGATGCAATTATAAGATAAGAAATAAGAATAGGTGAGAAGTTTAATAATAGTAAGAAGCTTGGTGAAGGCTTGTTGAGTTTTAAGTAAGTGCAAGTTGGTAAACCCAGTCTTTTGTAAGATTCTTTAAAAGCAAAAGATAAGCCATTGTTTACTTGAAGGGAAAAAGCAAAAACTATTATTCAGATACACAAGAGCTTGCAATAGATAGGGTAGCTGGAATTTTTATTATTTTTCTTTTATAATTGTCAGTAACAAACTACTTTGTCCGAGAATGCTTGAAGCCTAAATTTATGAGATAGGAAATTTCCTGAATGTTTAATTAAAGTGGTGGTTTGAATAAGCATGTCTTGGAGGGATCCCCTCGTTCACCACAAAAAAAAAAAAAAAAAAAAAAACATAGCCTATTTGAAAGTTGAAGGTACTAATGTTTGAGTGAAGTTGAATGTGTGTGTTTATGGGTTTTGCTTTTTTTTTTTTTTTTTAAATTTTAAAAAATTTTCAAACTCCTACTCTGTCTTGCAGCTCAGTGGTATGATGTCATGAAATGGGGTGGGGAATATGGAAAATACAATCAGAGACTAACTTTACAAAACGTCTTTGTGTAAATGTAACAAGGCATTGGCTATGGCCCGACAATAGTTGCTTGAGAATGCAGAATGATTATTTGAGGTGATTAGAAAATAAATCACTAAACCTCTTCAAGAGATGTCTACATTCCTTGGTTCCACCTGACCTAAGATGGATGGTAGAAAGATACAGTATGTAATACATTGGTGGCGTAATATGTTGGGCTAGGGCCTCTAGGAGTAAAGTTAAAAAATTGCAACACAGTGACATTTGCATTTTATATATATAAGATGCAGGATATTTTTATTTTTGTAAATCTTAAAAATTTTTTTCAAAAGTTTTAATGGATAATTGTTTAATGATACAAATCTTACTAATTAACCTATAGCTGGGGAAGAAGAGGTGAATTCATTCCTTTCCCTTTCAATATCATGTACACAAAAGGAATTGGAACTTGGCTTTCTGATTAACAATTCAGAGCCATTATTCATTTCACCACCCACACATCTAAGCTCACAGCACGTAGTATTCCTTAGTGGTTACCCATCTAGATACTGACTAGGCTCAATGTTGCTTAATTTCGGTGATTATGTGGGATTTGGTGTTTCTGCATGATGTAGCTGTAAGCCACATGTGGTTCAGGCACAGGAATTGTCAGGGTGTTCTTGAATTCAGCCACAAACAGCTTTAGGGATTCCAACTATGGATTTTTTTTACTTCAGGGTTGACTTCTAAAACCATTTTGATGATGCTGTACCTCTGCAACATCAGCATCATCTCTGACTCTTGCTGATCTTCATCTCCACAATGTTGATTCTATAACCTGGAAGCATCCATTTTTTTTTTTTTAAATCTCCACATAAAATTTAAAAAGGTCAGCAAACATTGATAGTATCTGGGATGGAAAAAAAATAGTATGCTGCTTGTGAACTTTATACTACAAGATCAGATATTTAAGACAATCAAATACTTTGAAAGTCTGAAGTCTGCTGTTCATTCCAACCTGACAAAAGAGTGGCTCCAATGATACTGTTTGAATCTTTCACCATTATTTATTTACAGACTAATGTCCTCATCTTTGTTATTATATTTCAAGTATTGTGTCCTCTGACCTTCTTCTGGTGTCTGCTAATTTGTGTAATGTTCAGAGAATATTGAACTGAATCTTTTATTTAATCCACAGGTATAGATTGTTCTTGTCCTGCTATCCATATTGAGGAATAGATTATATTTTTTTTTTTTTAAATTACTGCTCAGTTGTTACCTTGTTTCCACAGAGTCTGAGTTTCTACTATCTGGCCCTGGGATTGAACTTAAAGTTATTATACCTAAGCTGTGACTCAGACTTACTGGAAACAGGACTAACAATAACTGAGCAATAAAAAAAAAAAAAATCCTTGCACCATGGTTGATTGTTTGTTTTTTTTGTTTTTTTAATGACTTATCAACCTTTTTAAGGTTATTTAAAGGTGAAAAATATTTTTTAGATTGTAAGAATTTTTTGGAGATAAGAATGATTTACTGATGCAAATCTTACTATCTAAACCAAAGATTGGAGGAGGAGTAGAGGTGGATCCATGCATGTAAGGGAATATGACTAACACGACTGGAATTTGAACTCAGTTCCCAGGTTTCTCATTCCAAGCCATTATCCATGCATCCTGGGTAAGATGATAAACTACATCCAAACATCAAGGCCTCTGATCTGGAGGTTTTGAGGAACGTGGAACCACCTCTTAATTGCTGGTGTTCCCAGGTCCACTCTGACACTGGGTGGTAGCACCTGTTAGGGTCCCAGGTATGGGCAAATAGTTAACCCCCCCCCCCAAAACTGGGGTCAAAATGTGTAAAAATAGGTTTTAATACCAGCAATACATTTTTGTAAAAAATTATTACTAGCAAAAATTTTTGAAAAAAAAATTTACCAGTAATAAAAATCTTGTCAACATTAAATAACCCATTGAGGTGTTGATATGCCGTAACACAAAACAACGCAAACCATTACACCACCTAGTCTTCCTTGGTCCAAGTAGTACAGACTAAGATTGGATGGAAACTGGATTAGCAATGACTGAGCAGCAGTATGAAGAAAAAGACAAAGCCATTCCAAAACATGGACAGTGGAATGAAAACAATTTACTCTGTAGAATAAACAAATGGTTAAGCTTGAAATTCTCTGAATGTTTCCCAGATTGATAGATACCTGAAGAAGACGGATTTTATTGACTGATTCATTTTCTATGGCTTATCAACTCTTTGTATGTTATTTAAAGCCAGAAAATATTTTTAGATTGTAGGAATTGTTTTTTGGAGATAATAATGATTTAGAGATACAAGTCTTACTAATTAACCCATAGCTGGAGGGAGAAGTGGTGGTTTCATACCTAATCAGAATTTGATAAACAAACAAATTATAGTATAGATATAAAATGGCTGATCAATTCTAGATTATCATCTATACATAAACCGATCCCTCACTTTGTGGTCACAGTAATTTCTATATATTTATATTCTAGAGAATGTGAATAAATCTAAAAGACATGCCTGTGTAGCTAATCAGTATTTGATTGATTGATTGATTTTTTACGGCTTATCAACACATTGCATGTTATTTAAAATAGAAAATATTTTCAAATTGTGAGAATTTTTGTTTGAGATAATAATGGCTTAGTGATAAGAGTCTTACTAATTAACCCATAGCAGGGAGAAGAAGTGGATTCATGCCTTTCCCAAGGGTATTTCTGTGTAAGTGAATATAATGAACTCAATGAGAATTCTAACTCTGCTCTTTGATTAATAATTCCGAACCATTATTCATTACATGTCCAGTACATCCAAG